CGCACCGATCGTCGCTAAATACAAGCGATCTGCCGGCTTTACAGCCGGCGGATCGCATGTATATTAACGGGCATCGCTGCCCGTTTTTAAATTGCGGCCATTTCCCGCTCGCGCGCCCGGCGTCTAAAGACGCCCGCTCAGATCTAGAGAGCTCCTGGCCGGCCGTTGTTTTACTACGGCCGGCCCGGAGGCAGTTAAAGAGAACTCATAACAAACGCTCTAGGTGCAAAGTCCCTTTGAATTGAGAGCAGTAGAAAACTTTGTTCTGTATCCCATTCTGCAGAGGCTACAATCTACAAAGGGGCTAGCAAAAACTTTGGAAAATTTACATGATAGTTAAGACTTTAGATATTTGGAAATGAAGCAACATTTTATTTTTGTTTCCCCCCCACCCCTAATTACTACGAGCTATCAATGGGCAAAAAAAAAAATAGGCATATTTATAAAGCAGTGACTTCTACCAAAAATGTACTGGTGTTGAATCATCAGCCGTATAATAAAACAGACTAGCAAGATTAACCTGTCGTAAATGGTGACCACTGCTTTACAAATCTTTCCATAGTATATCATGTAGGGTGACACAATGGTGACAAACTGTGGCTTTTAAAAAACCTACAGAGAGTTATTTAGACACTGAACAGCCAAACAGACAGACGCTCATTAATGTTAAATGCAAAATAAATGAATACACTTTTCAAAACATATGTAAAACAATACATACAGCATTATCACTAAGACATTCTAAAAGCCATTGCAGAACTCTGGTCTAAAACAAAAAACACAAACAAACCAACTATTGATTCTATATATAACCCGTTAACATATTTGATGATCTGTAAGGCTGTAAGTGAACACACTAGCTCAGTGGTGCCCATTAGGTAGATCGTGGTCTACCAGTAGCTCTCAAAGCTGATGCTGGTAGATCACGAAGGGTGTGAATGGTGGTCCCTTTATTCCATTTTGGTATATTTATTTAGCTGTGCACACATGATTACCTATTAGCCCGAGTCTGCCGAGCCAAGCTCCCTGACACCTTTCTGGTGGATACTGGTGGTTGAAGTGCTATGTATTACATGAAAGAATATTAGTTGACACAGCTTGAGGCACTGCACTGTTTGAAAAATACAGTAAGGTGAGCCAGGAGAGAGCGAGGAATGACAGCCAGGAGAGAGAGAGCGGGGAATGACAGCCAGGAGAGAGAGAGAGAGAGAGAGAGAGAGCAAGGAATGACAGCCAGGAGAGAGAGAGAGCGAGGAATGACAGCCAGGAGAGAGAGAGAGCGAGGAATGACAGCCAGGAGAGAGAGAGAGCGAGGAATGACAGCCAGGAGAGAGAGAGAGCGAGGAATGACAGCCAGGAGAGAGAGAGAGCGAGGAATGACAGCCAGGAGAGAGAGAGAGCGAGGAATGACAGCCAGGAGAGAGAGAGAGCGAGGAATGACAGCCAGGAGAGAGAGAGAGCGAGGAATGACAGCCAGGAGAGAGAGAGAGCGAGGAATGACAGCCAGGAGAGAGAGAGAGCGAGGAATGACAGCCAGGAGAGAGAGAGAGCGAGGAATGACAGCCAGGAGAGAGAGAGAGCGAGGAATGACAGCCAGGAGAGAGAGAGAGCGAGGAATGACAGCCAGGAGAGAGAGAGAGCGAGGAATGACAGCCAGGAGAGAGAGAGAGCGAGGAATGACAGCCAGGAGAGAGAGAGAGCGAGGAATGACAGCCAGGAGAGAGAGAGAGCGAGGAATGACAGCCAGGAGAGAGAGAGAGCGAGGAATGACAGCCAGGAGAGAGAGAGAGCGAGGAATGACAGCCAGGAGAGAGAGAGAGCGAGGAATGACAGCCAGGAGAGAGAGAGAGCGAGGAATGACAGCCAGGAGAGAGAGAGAGCGAGGAATGACAGCCAGGAGAGAGAGAGAGCGAGGAATGACAGCCAGGAGAGAGAGAGAGCGAGGAATGACAGCCAGGAGAGAGAGAGAGCGAGGAATGACAGCCAGGAGAGAGAGAGAGCGAGGAATGACAGCCAGGAGAGAGAGAGAGCGAGGAATGACAGCCAGGAGAGAGAGAGAGCGAGGAATGACAGCCAGGAGAGAGAGAGAGCGAGGAATGACAGCCAGGAGAGAGAGAGAGCGAGGAATGACAGCCAGGAGAGAGAGAGAGCGAGGAATGACAGCCAGGAGAGAGAGAGAGCGAGGAATGACAGCCAGGAGAGAGAGAGAGCGAGGAATGACAGCCAGGAGAGAGAGAGAGCGAGGAATGACAGCCAGGAGAGAGAGAGAGCGAGGAATGACAGCCAGGAGAGAGAGAGAGCGAGGAATGACAGCCAGGAGAGAGAGAGAGCGAGGAATGACAGCCAGGAGAGAGAGAGAGCGAGGAATGACAGCCAGGAGAGAGAGAGAGCGAGGAATGACAGCCAGGAGAGAGAGAGAGCGAGGAATGACAGCCAGGAGAGAGAGAGAGCGAGGAATGACAGCCAGGAGAGAGAGAGAGCGAGGAATGACAGCCAGGAGAGAGAGAGAGCGAGGAATGACAGCCAGGAGAGAGAGAGAGCGAGGAATGACAGCCAGGAGAGAGAGAGAGCGAGGAATGACAGCCAGGAGAGAGAGAGAGCGAGGAATGACAGCCAGGAGAGAGAGAGAGCGAGGAATGACAGCCAGGAGAGAGAGAGAGCGAGGAATGACAGCCAGGAGAGAGAGAGAGCGAGGAATGACAGCCAGGAGAGAGAGAGAGCGAGGAATGACAGCCAGGAGAGAGAGAGAGCGAGGAATGACAGCCAGGAGAGAGAGAGAGCGAGGAATGACAGCCAGGAGAGAGAGAGAGCGAGGAATGACAGCCAGGAGAGAGAGAGAGCGAGGAATGACAGCCAGGAGAGAGAGAGA